TCTACAAGTGCAGGGTTTATGTTCCCAAAGTAATATTTATTTAAAAACCGTTTGTTAAGAAGAACAACAGAAACACACAATATATTACATAGTGGAAATATTATTTCACATATTTGTTTCTTTCATATGGACCCTCAGTCTGGTCTCTCAGCCTGCTGTGTGTTTACTTCTCTTGATCCTAAATCTCTACTGTTGCACACACTTCAGTAGAGTGAGTCTTTTGTCTGTCTTACAGGATGGCAGAAGTCTCAGATATATACTCAAGTTTCAAATATTTATGTCATGTTATTTTCTCGTATGTTGTTGGTTATTATAATCAGGGTTTGGCTTAAAAAAAAGTCAAATGATGCCAGCTCTTTGAAACAGTCAGTACTGGGAAATGGTTGTATGGACACAGGGTCTCTGAAGAGCCAAGAAGAAATGCATATTTACAGTTGAAGGGATCAGCTGAAGGGTTCACACTTGCAATGAGGAAATGACCTTGAGAAACTGATAGTTTGAAGGAGACTCTGGAGATGCAGCCCTAGGAGATCTCAAAGTGGAAGAGCTTGGCAGCTGATCAAGTTGATTAACTGACAAATACCCAGTGGGGGCAGGAGGTGGCCTGATTACCCAGGGGGATGGTGTGGAAGTGGCTTATCTCTCTGAGGAGATGCAGTAAAGGCTGTGTTCACTCAAAAACACAGCTCTCACTTCAGAGGAATGAGATTGTTTATCCTGGAGCACCTGTAAGTCATCACAGCCTAGGAACACATATTTGGAGACTTAGCTATTCCAAATATACAATGTGCATAAAATTCAAACAGCAAGACAATAAGCAACCCAGAAAAATGAGCTATGGGTATAAATGGAAATTCCCAAAAGAAGAAAAAGAAATGGCTAATGAGCAATTTTAAGTGTCCAATATCTTTAGCCATCAGGAATTTCAGGCAAAAACTCTACTAATATTCCATCTCACCTGATCAGACCACTCATAGGTAGGAATACAACGGCAACAAGCTAGGGTGGACGTGAGGATACGCAGTGTTTGCACACGGTTGGGGAGAAATGTGCACTAGTGTGGACACTTTGGACATCAATCTTAGAGCTTCTCCAAACACTAGAAGTAGAACGGCCGCATGACCATGGGCCACTCCTGGGCATGTACACAAAGCTCGTTAGAGCCTACTACAAAAGAAAACTATTTTAAAGAGATTCTCAGGTCCCATCTGTGCTACATCCAACCTCCCCACCCAGCCAGACCTCCCCCACCCTTCTTAAGAGTCTAGCCTGGTGTTTCTCCCTGACCCTCCCCATCCATCCCTTCTCCCAAACCCATGGCATCTACAACAGATCCCATACCCACTGTCCCAGCCTCATCTCGACACCCTGACTACCCTGTAGTCAATCAGTAGCTACCTGCCACCACCCTCAGGTCCTTCTCTGACACCCAAACTCTCCTCCCAGTCAGATTTCTCATGTGATTCTTTAAGGTCTAACCTGCTGAGACTGATCACACCTTCTCCCCAAGCCACCAGATCTATCCTGGGACCCTAATCCAGTGTTCTAGCCTAGACTCGTCACCCCTGCCTATATGTCTGTCTATGTCTGGGTCTTCAGTTTGACTCTGCTTATCAACGTGTCTGTTTTTATGCCAGTGTCATGCGGTTTTTATTACTATAGCTCTATAGTACAGCTTGAAATCAGGGATTCTGATGCCTCCAGTAATTCTTTAATTGTTCAGGATTGTTTTTAACTATCCTGGACTTTTTGTTTTTCCATATGAAGTTGAGAATTGTTCTTTCAGAATCTATAAAGATTTGTGTTGGCATTTTGATGAGGATTGTGTGTAATCTGTAGATTGCTTTTGCTAGGATGACCACTTTTACTAAGTGAATCCTACAAATCTATGAGCATGGGTGATCTTTCCATCTTCTGATAACTTCTTCAATGAAACACTCTTCCACTTCTTGTGGGAGTGCAAACTTGTACAGCCACTATGAAATCAATAGCCAGAAAGTGCAAAAAAAATCCAGATGTCTCTCAATAGAAAAATGGATAAAAAGTGTAGTACATTTACACAATGGAGTATTACTCAGCTGTTAAAAAATTACATGAGATTTTCAGGCAAATGTATGGAACTAGAAAAAAAATCATCCTGAGGGAGGTAACCTAGACCTGGAAAGACAAATATGGTATGTACTCACTCAAAGTGGGTATTAGCTCTGAATTAAGTGATATCCACAGACTGAGAAAAGTTAGGTAAACCCGGGGGATGCATGGATCTCCCCAGGAAGGGAAATAGAATAGATTTTGTGGAAGGGCAGGGAGTAGGTAGGGACAGGAGCATAAGGGATTGGGGTAAGTGATGGAGGGAGAGAGTTTGGGGAAAGATAGCTGGAACTGGTTGGGGGTGGCTGTCTAGGTTGTAGTGTGGAAACCCAGTCCAGTGGAACGTCCCACCATGTGGTTGCTGGGAATTGAACTCAGGACTGTCCTCAGACCTTCCCACATCTTAGAACACACTCTTTCCCTCTAATCACTTAGCAGAGACATGAGTAGTTATTCCTGGGAACAGTCAGTGCAGAGTATGTTTCTTTAGTGCAAAGCTGCACCTGCAGCCTGTTTAGGCTTTACTGTGAAGCCTGTTAGCAAGGCAAACCTGGCTGCCTTTTCTTTTTTCTTTTCTTAAATTGTTTTTATTGAGCGATATATTTTTCTCTGCTCCCCTTCCTCTCCCCTTCCCTTCTACTCTCTCCCATAGTCCCCATGCTCCCAATTTACTCAGGGGATCTTGTCTTTTTTACTTCCCACGTAGATTAAATCCATGTATGTCTCTCTTAGGGTCTTTAAAGTTGTCTAGGTTCTCCGAGATTGTGAATTGTAGGCTGGTTTTCTTTGCTTTATGTCTAAAAGCCATTTATGAGTGAGTACATATGATATTTCTCTTTCTGGGTCTGGGCTACCTCACTCAGTTATGATATTTTCTAGCTCCATAAATTTGCCTGAAAATCAGAGATGTCATGATTTTTCCTGCTGTGTAGTCCTCCATTACATAAATGTACCACATTTTCCTTATCCATTCTTCAGTCGAGGGGCATTTAGGTTGATTCCAGGTTCTGGCTATGACAAACAGTGCTGCTCTGAACATGTTGAGCACATGTCCTTGTGGTATGATTGAGCATCCTTTGGGTATATACCCAAAAGTGGTATTGCTGGGTCTTGATGGTAGATTGTTTCCTGATTTTCTGAGAAATCGCCATACTGATATTCAAAGAGACTGTACCAGTTTGCACTCCCACCAGCAATGAATGAGTGTTCCCTTTACCCCACATCCTCTCTAGCATAAGTTCTCATCAGTAGTTTTGATCCTGGCCATTCTTACAGATGTAAATTGGAATCTAAGAGTTGTTTTAATTTGCATTTCTCTGATGGCTAAGGATGTTGGCCATTTCCTTAAGTGTCTTTCAGTCATTTTATTTCTCTGTTGAGAGGTTTTTTTTTTTTTTTTTTTGGTTTTTCGAGACAGGGTTTCTCTGTAGCTTTGGAGCCTGTTCTGGCACTAGCTCTGTAGACCAGGCTGGTCTGGAACTCACAGAGATCCGCCTGCCTCTGCCTCCCGAGTGCTGGGATTAAAGGCGTGCGCCACCATCGCCCGGCTTCAGTTATATCCTACATTGCCTAGTACAGAAAGCAGCAAATAAGGAGGATACGAATAGCTAGGACAGTACACAAACAAAACTAAAGAGCTGGAGAAACACTTTCCATCAAAGGTAGAATTATTAAAGTTCTTATTTTGTACATACTAGATTGACTGAGAATGGTTCCTGTCTTTGAATAAATTGTCAATTTGTTGTGCCCAAGTTGAGACGCCCAGAGAAACCACCACCAGGATCCAGTCAAGTCCAGAATGCAAGAGCAAGGTTTATTCTGCGTGCATAGTCCAACTAGCTGTGAGCTCAAAGCCACCACTCACAATGCAGCACAGTGGGGAGAGCTGCCATTTCTCATTTGGGATTGACATATATAGGTAAAAACCGCAAGCCAGGTTCACTTAGGGTCAAGAGAGTTGGTCTTGCTAAACGCAGGGTATGGACCACTTCAGTATACCCCCTTCCTCTTTAAGAGGCTTCTTATGCTCTGTGCATGCCCCCCTCCCAGCCATTAAGTCTGCTTCTGTCTAGACCACAAAGTGGGTGTCACAGGGGGCTAGCTGCCAGGGACAGCTGGTTTGCACTTTTGCAAAGTTTCCTGTTTCCAGCTAACTCTTGATGCTGCAAAGTTTTAAAATTTTTTTATGTCCTTAAATTAGGATGTACATAGGTATGTGCCTAAAAGGGTGGTTCAGAGAATAAGTCACAAGAGAAAGCAAAAAGGCACACAAAGGTTGACTTTAGGAGAACCAGAGAATTTTTTGTTTGATGTCCAAAATACTCTATCCTCCATTTCTTATTAGCCACTCTACACACTACTAATCTCTTGAAAATGGCAACAAAATTAGCTAACGCTATAATTCCTGTAGATCTTTAAAAACTTTTGGACTTCTATCTAAGAGGCCACATGTGACACAAGTCTTCTGTGTCAATGTAACAGGTCACCAGGAAATTCGCATTCAGCTGTACCATACCACGGACTTGTGTGACCTTGACGCAGTTCGCGGAGACTACTTTTTCTTTTTCGAGCATAACCCATAGTTTTGCCTCACGTGTTTTTTTTTTTTTTTTAAGAATATCTGATGCTAAGAGTACACCATGACCAAATTTAAGGTGATTTATTTCATTTTGCAATAGTGACACTCGCGCGCTATGCTCCAGAGGGCCTTAGCATCGCACAAGCCTGTCAAGTTGAAAAGCAGGTCCTGGCAGGCTGCACAGGAGGAGGGAGAGAGGCCGGACAGGCTCACACCTAGTGCAAGGGACCACGCTCAGGAGCTCCCAGGCGCTGGGGGTGGGGCTTACCCGAGAGGGCGCGCCCGGGTGGCGTCATCACCGCGCGTCGGCTCTTGTCGCCCGACGTGGAGAAGGTGGGCGGGGTTTCGCTCTGTGTAGCGGAGACCGCGGTTTCCTTCTGCGCCCTCTGTTGCTGCCTTGGGTGCCAGGGAAGTGAGGCGTCGAGAGTCTCTTTCCCCGGAGGAGAGCGCCTTCCTCGAGGGCTTCGGAGCGGAGCCTGAGCCATGCCGAACTCGCGGCCCAGACCCCGGCGGGGCGGTGGCGCAGGTGCGGCCGGCCGGGATCGGCTGGTGGCGCGGTCCTTGCAGAGCGCTGAGCACTGTCTGGGCGCCCGGGACTTCGGCACTGCCTATGCTCATTACCTCCTCGTGCTCAGCCTGGCGCCGGAGCTCAAAGACGACGTGAAGGTGAGGCCTTACTGCGACCATAGGGTGGGGTGTGTGTGTGTGTGTGTGTGTGTGTGTGTGTGAGAGAGAGAGAGAGAGAGAGAGAGAGAGAGAGAGAGAGAGAGAGAGAGAGAGAGAGAGAGAGAGAGAGAGAGGAGACACAGAGACTGAGACACCTTAACGACTATGGAAGTCGATTCCCTCCTGGGCCTCCTGCAGCTCAACTCGGTACAGCCAGGTTTTAGTAACAAGTCAAAAGTTGTCTCACATCTGTTTGAAAATTTCTACCTCTCTTGAGATTCCAAAGGCCGCCGGGCAACGGTGGCGCACGCCTTTAATCCCAGCACTCGGGAGGCAGATGCAGATGGATCTCTGTGAGTTCGAGATCAGCCTGGTCTAGAATGAGTCCCAGTACAGTCAGAACTATCCCACAGAGAAACCCTGTCTCGAAAAAACCAAAAAGAAAAAGAAAATCCAAATGTCCTTTAAATGCCAATGCCACTAGGTAGTCCTTTCTCTCCTTCAGTATGTAATTTAATTAGCTCTGCCTTGAAGGCTTTGTATTATCATGTGTACAAGGAAATTATCATGTGTACAAGAAATACTGTTCGTCCGGAGTTGGATAAATTGTGCAACCCTAAGGGACCCTTTATCTGATGGTCCGTCTCATGTGCAGCAGTTACCCTGCTGAACTACTGTACACTTTCATGTGTTAGAATCTCAGTTTCACAAAGCAGTTGAATTGCACATTCAGTTTAAGCCGTGGATCTTCTTGCTTTGTTCATCCCGGAATTTCTTAATCTGACCCTGTTGACATTTTGCAGGCCACAGTCTTCCTTCTTGTTTAGTAGCGTGGTCTGTCCTATGTCCACTAGATGGCAGTACATTAGGCGCTTGTAATTCACAGACATTTCAGGATCTGTTACATAGTATTCTGGGTAGTTTGCTCCCTCGTGTAGAAAGCAGTCTCATCATCACGATTTCTCTTGGCTCAGCTCTAGCTGCTGCTTCTGTGAATGGACAAGATAAATAGTTGGTGTGAGTGTACAACATGGTAGAGTGCTTGTGTTGGTAGAATTCTTATCCCGGGGAAGACATAAAGTGTATCTGCCCTTTCTCCTAAGATCCCAACAACAAACTGAGGTCTCCGGGGAAGCAGTGAATTCACTGGGCTTACCTACAGAGCACAGCGGAGGGGTTCCTTACTGCAATGTGGGTGCTCCCCTCAGCAGGCTGCACTGGAAAGCCTTTACCCGCAGGAATGATAGCTTTCTCATAGCTGCACGGCTTCTCTCTCCCCGCCACCTCCCACTGTCTTCCCTGGTTATATACTGGAGACCAGAGGTTCTTAACCTGTGGGTTGTGGCTCCTTTGGGCCACACATCTTGCATATCACATGTTTACATTATGATTCATAAAATAGCAAAATTACAGTTATGAAGTAGCAACAAAAGTAATTTTATGATTGGGGTCATCCTACCAGGAAGAACTGTATTAAAGGGTCACAACATTAATACAACATTAATTAAAGTTTGAACATTCTCAAACCACAGCTCTAGATTCTACTTGAGGCTATGCAGTCAGGGCAGCGTTTGCACACAACAGGTGGTATGAACAGTGGGATACTCAGGTGAGGGTCTCATGACCCAGTCTGCCTTTCTGGGAGAGATTTAAACAGTCAACAAGTCCATCTGGTATGATCTTGGCAAGTGGCCACAGCTAAACTTCCTTCCAAGATGGCAGTTGTTTGACTTGGGGAATAGGCCTATACAACAGCTTGCCATAGAATGACTCTGAGTGTGATGCTCTGGGTTCCACGGCTAGCACGGAAAAACTATGTGAAATTTGACTATATGACTGGATACATAGCTCAGTTGGTGGATTTATCCTAACGTGCGCCAGGTCTAAAGCTAGCACAGCAGCACACATTGTGATCCCAGCACTTAGGGCGTGGAGGCAGGAGAATCAGAAGTTCCAGATTATCTTCAGCTACATAATGAGTTTGAGGTAGGGTTGTATGTGACCCTGTACTAACTTTTTATTAAAAACAGACGAGCTGGTGATGGCCAGCATTCAGTAGCTGGTTTTATGTGAAACAAAGTTCTTTTTTCTTTCTTTTTTTGCAAAAGCCTCATTCACAGAAGTCTGCTTTTCTGAAAGCCTCTCTACTACCTATACCCACACTTTGGTCACATTAAACCATTTGTGTTTTAAAACTTTTAAATTTAATATGTATGAGTATTTGCCTATATGTGTGGATATGTACCACATGTGTGTAGTTCTGGCTCAGGATACCACAAGACCAAGTTCTCAGCAAAAAGGACTTTTATTTGCCTCAGAGGGATACTGGATGGGAAGTAAGAGACTAAGATAGGAGATAGAAGACAGGGAAAAAGGGGAAGGGAACAAGGGAGAGGGAGAAGGGGTATTACCCCTGGATAAAGAGGAGACAATTGGTGGTGGTTCATAAAGATAAAGGGGGAGACTCTGTGTTAGGATAAGGTGTTTAGTTTTACTTGGAAATACTAATCAGATGAGCCAAAGGGGGCTTTTGATTGCTGGACTTCAGTACTTTGATAGCTGGCCCTTGGTAGGCAGCCTCAGGAGGAGGAAGCAGCCAAATAAGGGAATAGACCTTGGTGGCTAGCTTTAGAAATGGTAAGCTAATGGTTTTTAGCAAGACAGGGAGAAGGGTAAGACTTGCCAGACCAGACCCATGCTTGCTGCTCTTGGACTGGCTAGAGTTCCTTCATGGCGGAGACCAGAAGAGGGCATTGGATTCCTTGGAGCTGAGTTATAGCCAGTTGTGAGCTGCTATTTGGGGTACTTAACCTGGGTCTTCTGCAAGAGCAACAAGTACTCTTCCCCCTTTCTCCTGAGACAAGGTTTTTCGGTGTCGCTTTGGCCGTCCTGGAACTTGCTTTGTAGACCAGGCCTTGAACTGAGAGATCTGTCTGCCTCTTCCTCTACTGAACCATCTCTCTAGCCCGTTAACTGTTTTATTCATTTACTTATTTTTGTTGTTACCAAGGACCAAACCCAGAGCCTTAAACATCCTAGGAAAGAATACTCAACCACTGAGCAATCTACTAATCTATAGAACTCTTGATCCATTTATATAATATCTAGATATCCAGAGTATCTACCATATAATAGGATCTCCTTCATTATCTTTGTTTTTCTAGTAAACTGTTATAATTCCTATATTAACTCTTATGTGTAAAGTTTGTATGTGGAATGTCAGAACCTGCCTTTTCTCCATAGAGCAGTATCATGGAAAACAGCTGCAGGAAGATGAGACTGGAGCTGGGTGGGCAGTGAGAAGGCAGTCGCTGCGCTTTACCAAGTGATTGAGGGCCAGGTTAGGTTGGAGCGGTAGAGCTCGTCAGAAAGCAGCAGATTTAAAGATAGTAGAGTAGGATGTGTTGTGACCAAACTTGGGAGAACATAGCATACATGTCTACTCACCCAGATAGGGATCCTCTGACAGACCAAAGTTAGATGTATGAGGAGCACAGGACCCTTTGTTCTGTCCTGCAAGGCTAGCTTAACCCCTGAAATAATTACACAGAAACTGTATTCATTTAAACACTGCCTGACCCATTATATCTAGCCTCTTCTTGGCTAATTCTTACATTTTGATTCAACCCATTTCTAGTAATCTATGCAGAACCACGAGTTTGTGGCTTACTGGGAAAGATTCAGCATGTCTGACTCTGGTGACTTCATGGCGGCTCGCCCTGCCTGCCTTCTTTCTCCCAGCATCCAGTTCTGTCTTTCCCGCCTACCTAAGTTTCTGCCCTATCAAAAGCCCAAGGCAGTTTCTTTATTTGACCAATGAAAGCAACACATAGAAAGAAGAACCTCCTACACCAATTAGATACCATGAAAGACAAATTTAGTGAACCATTGAGTTTTATTGGGGTTACTTACAGGGACAAATAGCTTTAAAGACAGGTGTATTGTCAAAGCCCACCCCAGCACGGGCGACAGCTCACAGAGCTGGAAAATGAAGCATTCTGCACAGCCTGCTGGCAGCACAACAGACTGGAGAGCATCCTCTCCAGCTGCCCCTGGTCTAAACCTCCTGGTAGCCTGGCTGGTTTCTGCTTGTTCCAGGCTAGCTGGTCTGATCTCAAAAGTCTTCCTGGCAGCTTGGCTTGTCTGAGTGACTCTCAGCACTATTGTGAGAGTGCATGTGAGGTAGAGGCATAGTGAATCTGCTCAGTTTCAGGGACTTCCTGAAGCTATCTTGAGTTGTTTACCTTCTGTTGTAAGGACCTTTCCTAAAGAATGGAATGTTTTAATCTTGGAGGAACCTTGTACAACAGGGTAGCAGTAAGTAGTGATTTGTGTTTTGAGACGGAATAATACCTTTGTATCCTTTTGTATCCTGTGAAGGAAAGGTGGTGTGACAATTGAGGACATGTTGAACTTTTTAAAGATAGTTAATTTCTATTAAGATAGAAGCAACATTCATGTGCATCTTTGAGTTTTTATTCTAGTTCTTTGCACATTGCTTGATGAGATGACTGGAGACCTATGCGTGATGGGTGGAGATAGCCAGAGTCCGAGGGCTGGAAAATAAGGGCCTAAGTAGTCGTGTACGTGCTACATCATTAGCACATATGCGGTTGTGTACTGGGGATGAATAAGGATGAACAAGGACACTTGTGATGCATAGCTACCTGCAGAAAGCAGAGGTGGGGGAGAGGCAGCTAAGAACAGATGTTTACAGGAAGATCATACTGTCTGATTCTACATAGTATTTTTTTTTACATGTGCTTATTTATTTGGTGTCTTAGTCACTGCTGTATTGCTGTGAAGAATCTCCATGACCAAGGCAGCTCTTAGAAGAGAAAGCATTTAATTGGGGCTGACTTCAGTTTCAGAGGTTTAATCCATTATTATCACTGTGGGGAGCATGGCAGGAAGTATGCATGACACCGGAGCAATAACTTAGAGCTGCGTCCTGATCTGCAGGAAGGGGCTGTGGGAGAGACAGAGAGAGAGACAGACACTAGACTTGGCTTGGACTTTTGAAACTTTAAAGCCCACCCACAGTAACATACTTCCTCCAACCAGGCCACCCTTCCTAATCCTTCTCAAACAAGTACCACTCCTTGGTGACTTAGCATTCAAATATAAGAGCCTATGGGACCATTCTTATTTGAACCACCATATTTGGTAAGCAGTACTTACTGAAAATTAGTGATTTCAGGTCATCATTCATTTCAGTCATCATTCCATTTGCTGCAGTCTTCAGTTAGAGTTGTGTGTTCTTTTTTTTTAAATATTTATTTATTTATTATGTATACAATATTCTGTCTGTGTGTATGCCTGACGGCCAGAAGAGGGCGCCAGACCTCTTTACGGATGGTTGTGAGCCACCATGTGGTTGCTGGGAATTGAACTCAGGACCTTTGGAAGAGCAGGCAATGCTCTTAACCACTGAGCCATCTCTCCAGCCCCCGAGTTGTGTGTTCTTTATTCTTGTTTACTAATTTGTCTTTTTTTCTTGTTTGTAAAGGAAACTTTTCAGTATACACTTTTCAAGTGGGCTGAAGAGCTTGATGCACTCAGTCGAGTACAGGACTTACTTGGTTGCTATGAGCAGGCCTTGGAACTCTTTCCTGATGATGAAGTGATTTGCAATAGTATGGGAGAGCATCTCTTCAGGTTTGTAGTGACTTCACTGTTACTTGTTGAAGACTATTCTTTATCAGTCCAAAGCAAGTATAAGTTATGCATTAACTTGGTTAGTTTTGAGATGGAGTCTTACCACCTGCTCAGTCTGGGCTGGAATTTGTGGACTTATGAGATGTTTTAGCCTGAGACTACATGTATGCACTACCATGCCTATAGATAGGGTGATTTCAATAGGGAAAGTTTAATGTAAATAATTAACTATAGCAGAATCAAAAGAATGAGTGATTAGTTAGTAATAAGGAGAACTCAAAAGAATATAAGAATAGTAAATATGGCGTGTAACCTGGCAATTTAAAATTAGATTTATTTTATGTGTGCACATCTGGGTATATGTGCGATTTGTACACGTGTGTGGGTAATGTGCTGTAATGTGCCTGTGGATGTCAGAGAACAACTTTTGGGAGTTGGTTCTCTCCCTCTACCATGTTGGTTTTGGGATTGAACTAAGGTTTTCAGGCTTAGTGGGAAGAACCCTTATCTGCTGAGCCATCTTGCTGGCCATCGCAGTTTTATAGTTTATTGTTTAAGGGTTTGACCCATGGAGACTGTGGAAGTATTGAAGGAACTCAGAGCCTGTCCTTGTTTGAAAAGGCAGTGCTGTGGTTCACAGGATGCCTTGCCAGAAAGTCTTTAGAACTTGCTAGAATTTTTTCTTTTGGGGTGCCAAAGAAAGCCTGATTGGGAGCATTCTGTTGATGAGACTCCACTGGGTGGAATCAAGGATAAGCTGCCATCATTGCTGCTGGCACCACCCCATTAGATGCTGCGCCCCCATGCATGGGAGGTAACTTATGTAAACCTCGAGGCACATTGAATCGCTCTTCATCCATTCAGGTGCTTACGTGCCAGTCAAAGGTCAGCTTTGTGAGTAGGCTTCTCAGAGGTCACCAGTCAGGCCTGCCATGTAGACTCTGTACACACCAGTACAAGCCATACCCATTCCTGAGAAATTACAGGACTATAATAGAAGGTTAGCATTGCCTCTGCATTTGAAAGTTTTAAAGAAATGGGGGAAAGAACATGGTTCTGCCAAACTGACAAGTTGCAATTTCAAATTTAAGAGTTTACTAAATGAGTCTCATTTTATACATTCCTTCTAGTTATTCTCATGCATTTCTCTACCATGCATCCTCTCAGGTCATTGATGTTATTAGTAATGAACTAAAAAGCACCTTAATGCCCACAGAATTTCTCTTAAGTATATCTAGATTCTATTGGCTGTTGATAATTATTTTAGTTAGGGTTTCTATTGCCGTGAAGAGCCACCATGACCACGACAACTTTTAAAGAAAAACATTCCATTGTGGCCGTGGTGTCCAGTTTCAGAGATTAGTCTGCATTCATCATACTGGGACATGGCAGTGTGCAAGCAGACATGGTGTTGCTGGAGCGGAGAGTCCTACGTCTTGATAAGCAGGCAAGAGGAAGTGAACTGAGATACTGGGCTTGGCTTAAACATACGTGAGCCCTTAAGTCCGCCCCTACAGTGACACACTTCCTCCAACAAGGCTGTACTTACTCCAGCAAAGCCACATCTAATAGTGCCACTCCCTACATTCAAACTAGCACAATAATCAACCTAGTAGTTTTGTCTCCTACTCCCAAGGGGCCCTTCCTTGACTCAGGACTGTGCAGGGCTAGGGCTCTGGAGAAGGGCGTGTATGCATCCTTTTCAGTTCTGACAAATTAATTGAGCAGTAGTCTTCCTTTGTTACACATTTTGATTCAGCATGACGAGGCTTGTTCACGTTAATATCATATGTTTTCTACTGTGATGTGTAGTGGACATCTCTGGTCAAGGAGCTCATGGGGTGAACAAAGTATAGACCAGTTTTGGATGCTACTGAATTCTGATAGTATGTGAGACACATACTGGTCGTGGGCAGTGCAGTCAGCCTGTGAGTAACTATTTTAAACAGTATCGGAGTTTTTCACCACAGTTTGAGAAGCAACGTTCAGATGACTTGGTAGTATTTCCTCCCTTTTAAAATTTTTTATATGCTCATATTCAGTACACATTAATGCCTTTGACACCCCCACGCCCACCTCCAGAATCTCTGAGATGCATAGGTGGAAATTCAGAAGTCAGGAGAGTGCCATCCCCACAGAAGGAGAAATTTGCCAAGGAGGCTGCTCTGGGGTATGGGGTAGTGATGAAGGGTTCTCAGGCTTGGTCAGTGCATGAACAGGGGCACTGTAACTAATTGCATAGAGTTGAAGTATTCTGTCATTTTTTCCCCCTCTAGAATGGGCTTTCGAGATGAGGCGGCTGGGTATTTTCATAAAGCAGTGAAGCTCAACCCTGATTTCAGTGATGCAAAGGAGAACTTCTATCGTGTTGCAAACTGGCTGGTGGAGCGCTGGCACTTCATCATGCTCAACGACACCAAGAGGAACAGGATTTACAATGCAGCAATCCAGAGGGCAGTGAGCTTGGGGTCCAAGAGTGTTTTGGATATTGGCACAGGAACTGGAATACTGAGGTTTGTTATAATTATTGTTTTATTATTATATTTACATGAATAAGCAGTTTTGTTAGCTACCAAAATTGTAACATTGGTATATAAGAATAGCAGTTGTTTTTCAAACTATTGTTAGAGTATTCATGCAGCTGTTCTTTTCTTTCTTCTTCTTCTTCTTCTTCTTCTTCTTCTTCTTCTTCTTTTTTTTTTTTTTTTTGAGGCAGGGTTTCTCTGTGTAACAGTTCTGGCTGTTCTGGAACTGTTGAAATAAGAAGCGGCGGGGCTGCGTCCCCAACACCCCGGCCGCTCGGCTAGCTTATGCCCGAAATAACAACACACAAACTGTATTCATTTAAGAACTGCTTGGCCCATGAACTCTAGCCCTTACAGCCTAATTCTCGCACCTGGATTAGCCCATTTCTAATGATTGTTTGTAAGCACCCCATGGTGCTCTTACCGGGAAGAGTCTAGCCTCCGTCCATCTTGTCCGGGAGCAGAGCAGAGTCTGACCTGACTTCCTCTTCCGCCCAGCATCCTATTCTGTTTACTCCTCCCATCTATGTTCCAAGCCAGAGGCCAAGCAGCTGGTTTATTATAACTTAACCAATGAAATCAACCGATTGATATATGACACTCCCACATCATGGAACTCACTTTGTAGAGCAGGCTGGCCTTGAACTCACAGAGATCCGCCTCTGCTTCCTGAGTGCTGAGATTAAAGGCATATGCCACCAATGCCCTGCTTGATGCAACTATTAGCATTGTAATTTTTACTACCAATAATTCAAGAAAACTAAGGAAAACTTGGGTTTATTGAAATTCTGAATAATGAGTTTTAGAGTATTTTTTTATGTTAACATTCTGATGGATTCTAGAAAGCCCATTAAGCAAACTTCTTAATTGTGTGGATGTCTTAATTGTGTGGATGCTGAGCTGGGTGTGGTGGTGCATGCCTTTAATCCCAGCACTTGGGAGGCAGAGGCAGGCAGATCTCTGTAAGTTCGAGACCAGCCTGGTCTACAAGAGCTAGTTCCAGGACAGGCTCCAAAACCACAGAGAAACCCTGTCTCAAAAAACCAAAAAAAAGAGAGATGTTCTCCGTCACTGCCTGGTTGTATGGCTACATATTTTGTGTGTACACAGGCATGTGCAAGCCTGTGCACCACAGTACTCATGTGGAAGTCAGAAGTTAACTCTCAGGAGTCAGCTTTCTCCTTCCACTGTAGGTTTCAGAGATTAAACTTGGGTTGTCAGACTTGAACGGCAAATGTTTTTACCTGTTGAGCGATCTTGCTAGCCCTAATCTTTTAAAAGCAGAGGAAATGATAGTTATATTGAAGAATGGAAGGAAGATCCATGTATAATTTTATTGAAATTGGGAAATGATACAATGGATTTTTCTTCTTTTGCAGCATGTTTGCTAAAAAAGCCGGTGCACACTCAGTGTATGCCTGCGAGTTATCCAAGACCATGTATGAGCTTGCCTGTGATATTGTGACTGCAAACAAGATGGAAACTGGAATTAAGCTCCTACACATGAAGTCACTTGACATAGAAATTCCAAAACACATTCCTGAAAGGTGTGTTTATAACTCACCAAAACCATGAAGATACGTTTCCAGCTTTTTGCATAAACGAAAGTGTTAGCATCCTCATTCTGTGACGGTACGGTTACTAGCCAGTTTAATAAGATACAGGATTTTATGATAACATGCTTTTTAAAGAGTACCTAAGAACTCAAGTTGATAGTGAGGAATTGAACAAAAACCATCTTTAACACATCACGTAAGCTCGTGGTTTTTTTTCCATATAAATGGATAGACTTCCTGTGTTAAGTAACTGTGTATAAAGTGTGAACATTCTACCCTGAGCAGACATCACGTTTTCATTACTATCCTTGTTGAAAATGGAAGGTTAGAAGTAGCAGAGATTTAAAAAGCATTTGGCCCACCGTTTCAAAGAACTTTCCCTTTTCTTAATGTGACACTTGTCTGTAACTCTGCCTATGCTGTCTCTCTTCTGCCTTACTTAAATGTAGTCTACATTTGAAGAATTTATTATGCTCTATTGTTACTTGAACTCCGACTTAAGTCTTCTTTCAGTTTTAATAAGTGTGCATGGGACTTAAATTTTTTAGTAGTCTTTGTTCGTGATGATGATTATCAGCTTGTTAGTCTAGGTGTGTACTCACTTTATAAAAAACAAAACGTCCTAAGTTGTCTTAGGAGCCTAAGGTCACAGTTTAAACAGCAGACACAAAAGTTATCAGGCAGAGTTCCTCCGGGCTGCAGTGGGGCTACATGCTCTTTGTATCCTCATGTGACCTTTGCTCTGTGTGTGACTTATTGCTAGTGTTTACTCTTTCAGTAGGACACCAGTCCTGTTGAATTAGAACCTCATGTTGATGACTTTAACCTTAATTGCCTCCTAAGGGCTCTGTCTCTAAATATAGGATTAGGGCTTCCATATAAGATTTGGAGTGACTTGAAGCTACGGTTACTTTAATTTGTATTTTCCTCACAGACTGCCTTTGAAGCAAATGAAATAGAGATTTGAATTCAGACTCTTATTTGTTCACTTTGACAATAAGCAAATTTCTGAGCTAAGTTGCAGGACTTGACGGTTTGAGGAATTTTTCGTATTCTAAGTGTATGCAGTCATAAATACTGAATGTTTCCTGTCTGTAGGTCTAATTGGGTCTAGGTACTGTGGAGGATACCCAAGTCATCCCTGCTGTTAAGATACCTATAAATCTAGAGAGGGGCATAAGGAGTACTGATGGAATTTATGGATGTCCTTAGGCTACAAAAGTGAGTGATGCTGACAGTGAAAGCTAAAGGAATTCAGAAAAGGCGAAATACTTCTTTCTGAGTGTCTTTGAGTTTTCTAGAAAGAATGAATGAATGAGTAAGAGCACATAATTCTGGAGTGGGTTGTTGTGGAGACTGGAGGAGTAAGCGGTGAGATAGGTAGGCGTGGTCAGGCCCAGGGAAGGGGAAGTTTTGGAAGGGAAGGTTCTTATCAGCATTAGGTGTTATTTGCACAGCAAGAAGTATAACTGGACTGACAAGGTGGCTCACTGGGTAAGGATGCTTGTTGCTAAGCCTGATGACCTGAGTTCAATCCCTCAGTCCCATAAGGTAAAGGGAGAGAACCGATTCACACACAAAACAGACGTGGTCGGGAAGTGGTGGCAAACGCCTTTAGTCTCAGCACTCAGGAGGTAGAGGCAGGAGGATTTTTGGGTTTGAAGCCAGCCTGGTCTACAGCATGAAATCCAGGACTACTAGGGCTACACAGACAAGTCCTGTCTCATAAAAACAAAAACAAAATAAAAATTTATTTTAAGAAGGGTCATTGATGGTGGAGAATCTGTGGATGTAGTCCCTCCCTGATGGAGGTGAACCTGTGGATGTAGTCCCTCCCTGATGGAGGAGAACCTGTGGATGTAGTCCCTCCCTGATGGAGGTGAACCTGTGGATGTAGTCCCTCCCTGATGGAGGAGGACCTGTGGATGTAGTCCCTTCCTGATGGAGGAGAACCTGTGGATGTAGTCCCTTCCTGATGGAGGAGAACCTGTGGATGTAGTCCCTTCCTGATGGAGGAGAACCTGTGGAAGTAATCGCTCCTGATTTATTATTGCTTTTTTAATGCAGGGTTTCATGTAGCCTGGGCTGATTTCAAACCCACTACATAGTCAAAGATTACCTTTAATTTCTGTGTGATCCTCTTGCTTCCACATCCCAAGTTCAGGGCTTACGGACATAAGACATCATTCTAGGCTGATAGAAGAACATTTGTATGGAATGTTAGAGTTGGGTGCTAAATGTTTGATGTCAATGAAGGGACCAGGAAAGATGTGAGCACCCCTTAATTTTCAGGAGTTAGGCAGTGAATGGACGTCTGAGAAGGTAGCCCTTTTATGCCCAGAACAAGGAAGAGAACTGATGAAGAGAGGAACCCAAGCAGCACCGCAGGGTTCAGGGGAAGGTGCTAAAATGCAATGCCTTAGGAAACTTTACACAGGATTTTCTGTAATGTATTTGCCTTTTTCTCTTGTCTCAGCTTTGACAGCTTTAAATAAATAGCATGTCATTTTACTCACACGTCTCTTTAAAACATCGTTCTACAGAGTGTCCCTAGTTGTAACAGAGACTGTCGATGCGGGTGTGTTTGGAGAAGGAATTGTGGAGAGTTTAATTCATGCATGGGAGCATTTGCTTCTGCAACCAAAGGTAAGCTGTGTAAAAACACTCAAGTTTGATTAAGAATTCACTATTTCAAGAGGTGCATTGAGTCCTGAGGATGTTCAGAAATGTATCAGAGTATGTCTGCATACCTGGAGAGAAACACAAGGAGAAGCATTCTGTAGTGGTGTACACACGGGTGCACTGTGTGTCCCAGGAAGGTTTACAGAGAAGAGTGCGACGGGAAGGGAGGCGAATGTGTGACCTTGTTTGAGTATAGCTGTAGGAGAGGGAGTCCTTTGGCCCGCACAGTGTCGGTGTTTGGGATTTTGGCAGATCTCTAAAAGAGAAGATAGTGATGCTAGTTCAGTAATGTTTTAAGGTCCTCAGTGAGTTCAGGCTCTAGACAGAGCTCTGAACTCCTGCTGCAGCCCACGTGCCATATAAATAGTACAGTTCATTTACCGTGTATACGGAATATAGGAAGAGACTTCAGTAAAGTCCACTGTGTACAGAAGATATGTATTTAACATGCAACAAGCAGTTTATTTTTCAAAGAAATAATGATGACTTTGATACTTTTTTTTGTTGCTAAGAGTTGAACTTGGTCCCTCACACATGGCCAGTGCGCTCTACTGTTGAGCTATATTTCAAGCCTACTTTTTTCTTCTTTCTGTTTCTAAATATGTATTTACTTTCATTTTGTTTGAGTGTTTGCCATATGTGCCTGTCAAGTGTGTGTGTGCCTGTTGAATGTGTATGTGCGCCTGTCATGTGTGCAGTGTTTGTGGAGGTCAGAACGCATTGACCCTGTGGGGCTGGAGCTAGAGATGGCTGTGAGCTGCTTGTGGTTACTGGGAATTGAACCTGGGTCCTTGCCAGTGTAGCCAATGCTCTCTACCTCAGTCATCTCTCCACTTCCTCTATTATTGTTTTAAAGTCAGAGTTTCTCTGTGTAGCCCTGACTGTCCTGGAACTCTATCTGTATATCAGGCTGGCCTTGAACTTGCAGAGTTCTGCCTACCTGTGCCTCCTGAGTGCTGGGATTAAAGACATGTACCACCACCACCTGGCTCATTTTTTTTTAATTATTATATCCTAAACTGATATAGCTTTATACCTCTCTCTTTTTTGTACTTGTATTCTAAACACACAAAGCAGTAAAAATACTTTTTAAAGGAAAAATTCCTTAACCTGTATATATAGGCAAACTTGTACATATAATGATGTGACTTTTATTATATTTTCAGACCAAAGGAGCAAATGGAAATTGTGGACAGTATGGGAGAGTTATACCGGCAAGTGTTGTTATATTTGGGATGGCAGTAGAGTGTTCAGAGATACGAAGACATCATAGGTAAGTGGGAGAAGAAGACTCTTAAGTTGGGCAGTGGTGGCGCACACCTTTATTTCCAGCACTGGGGATGGGGATGGACAGAGGCAGGCAGATCTCTGATTTTGAGGCCAGTCTGGTCTACAGAGCAAGTTCCAGGACAGCCAGGACTATCCAGAGAAACCCTGTTTCAGAAAGCTTCCCCATCTCTTTCCTCCCCCAAAAAAGAAAAACACGACTTCCAAGCTTCGTGCCTGCTTATCATGTTGAATTAGTCTTACTGTAAGTAGAACTCTAGTATTGAAGCTAGCTTTTTCTAAGTGAACTTTTCCTACAGCTTACTGTTGTCTCACTGCATGAGTAGTTTGTGTAGAAAAAGAGTAAGTTCAGATTGATTTTAATTGAAGTTCAAGTAAGGATTTCCAATGTGAAGATAAATTTTAGTATTGTTTTTCTTGGTAACTTCATTAATAGTTATTAGTGGTGTGATGTACATATTTTAGTTTTCCTAATTCTACAAAATGGAACACATCCATCTGCCAGATTTCATTCCTTTGAGAACCCTTGCGGTTACTTTCTGCAGGTAGTGGTGTTTGGTTGTATAAAGGACAAGCAAGTAGGACATTTAAATTACATATTCCCTCATTTCATTGTTCTCTTTTCAAACTGTCTAGCATATCATACAGAGATCCAAATCCCTCCTTTTTTAATGTTTTCCTCATTCCTTAATGTGGGGAAACTCTCTTTAACCACTGCATGGCCTGGATGGCTGATGGTTCTTCAGGCAAGCTTTTTAAATTAAAATACAAATAAAATATCATTACACATACCTTTCAAAATAGCCACAAATAACATAAAATATCTTGGGGTAATTCTAACCAAGCAAGTGAAAGATCTGTATGATAAGAACTAATTCTTTGAAGAAAGAAATTGAAGAAGATATTGTAAAACGGAAAGATCTTCAATGTTCCTGGATAGGTAGGATTAAAATCATAAAATTGGCAATCCTACCAAAAGCAATCTACAGATTCAGAGCAATACCCACCAAATTCCCAGCACAATTCTTCACAGACCTCAAAAAAAAAAAAATACTAAATTTCATATGGAAAAGTAAAAAACCCAGAATAGCCAAAACAAAAAACAATCCTGTACAATAAAGGAACTTCTGGAGGTATCACAATCCCTGACATCAGGCTCTATTACAGAGCTACAGTAATGAAAACATTTTAATACTGACATAAAAACAGACAGTTGGACAAATGTAGTTGAATTGAAGACCCTGATATTAACCCACACTCCTATGAACACCTGATTTTTGACAAAGAAGCTAAAAAAGAAATTATCTTCATCAAATTATGCTGGTATAACTGAATATCAACATGTAGAAGATTGCAAATAGATCCATATCTATTGCCACACACAAAACTCATGTCTAAATGGATCAAAGACCTCAACATAAATCCAACCACAATGAACCTTATAGAAGAGAAAGTGGGAAGTACCCTTGAAAACATGGACACAGAAGACCACTTTCTAAATAAAACCCCAGTAGCACAGAAACTGAGAGCAACAGTAAAGAAATGGGGCCTCCTGAACCTGAGAATCTTCTGTAAAGCAAAGGACATGGTCAACAACACAAAACGGCAGCCTACAGAATGGGAAAAGATCCTCACCAACTCCATATTGGACAGAGAGCTGATCTCCCAAATATATGAAGAACTCAAGAAAATAGACATCAAAACATTGAATAATCTAATTAAAAAATAAGGTACAGATCTAAAGAGTGAATTCTCAACAGAAGAATCTTAAATGACCAGAAGACACTTAAGGAAATGCTCAGCATCTTTAGCCATCAGAGAAATGCAAAGCAAGACAACTCCAAGAAACCATCTTATACCTGTCAGAATTGCTAAGATAAAAAACGCTGGTGACTGCTTATGTTGGAGGGGATGTGGAGTAAGGGAAATGCTACTCCATTGCTGTGGAAATCAGCCTGTCGTTTTCTTAGGAAATTAGGAATCACAGTGCCCAGCAATACCATTTTTGGGCATATACAAAGGAAGCACACTCACTGCACAATACATGTGCTCAACTATGTTCACAGCAACATTATCTGTAACAGCCAAACCTGGAAACAACCTAGAAGCCCCTCAGTTGAAGAATGGATAAAGAAAATGTGATACATTTACACAATGGTGTACTACTCAGTGGTTTAAAAAAAAAAAAAAAAGGAAAAAACTGACATCTTGAAATTTGCAGGCTGTAGTAGCATTTCATTTGTCTTTTAATACATAAGATTGCTTGAAGGTCAGAAAAGTAAAACAGCCACACCGGCCAGTCCTACAGGCATCAATGACACACACCTTTAATCCCATTAGCCACACTAGCTTGCCTAGAAACCAGGTGGTAGTTTAGTCTCAGAACTGGAGAGGATTATAATACAGGAGGAGACAGCCCTCAGTCACAGTCTCATCTGAGGTTTCCTGGAGGCAGGTCGCCATTTCAGACTGAGGTAGAGGTAAGAGCCAGTGGCTGGGTGTTTTGCTTTTCTGACCTTCCAGTTGAACCCCAATTTCTGTCTCTGGATTTTTATTAATTGATTCAGCAGACAAATAGATGGAACTAAAAAAAAAAATCATCCTGAGTGAGGTAACCCAGACTCAGAAAGACAAATATAGTATGTCCTCACTCGTAAGTCGACATCAAACGTAAAACAAAGGATAACCAACCCAGAGAGGTCCACAACCCAGAGAAGCTAGACCCCTCATCCAGAAACAGTTTGTAGCAGATGCAGAAATCTACAGCTAACCACTGGACTGAGCTCCCGGAATACAACCAAAGACAGGGAGGCGTGATAATGTGAGCAAAGGGGTCAAGACTGTGATGGGGGAAACCCACAGAATCAGCTGATGTGAGCTACTGGGCTATCACTGACAACCGGGGAACCTGCATAGGACTGAACGAGGTCCCCTGGATGCAGGTGAAAATGGTGTGATTTGGGTAGTATGTGTAGCCACTGGCAGTGGTATCAGGATCTAACCCTAATGCATGAATCTACTTTGTGGAGCCATTCTCTATGGAGAGATACCTTGCTCAGCCTAAGCACAGGGGTGGTAGGGGTGGTGGTTGTCTTGGTCCTGCCTCAGTGAGGTGATGAGACAGACTTAGTTGACTTCTCAGGGGAGGCCTTACCCTCTCTGAGGATGGGGAATGAGGTAGGGGAAGGTGGAGGGAGCAGAAGGAGAGGAAGAAGGGGGAACTGGGATTGGCATGCAAAAAATGTGTGTGTGTGGGTGTATAAATTTAAGTGCTAAATTAAGTGTTAAATTAATTCATTAAAGGGTACCAATAAATCCAGTCGTGTGAGACAGTATCCTCAGCATCCCTTGCTATTGACTATTCCTGTTGTAGGCTGTATAGTGTGCATTGTGGTTTTCATTTCATTGCTTTGATGATCCCTGATGAGCTTATTTTATTTGGTTTTTCTCTTTGGTGAAGTATCTAAGTCTTTGTCCATTTTTGTTTGTTTTCTATTAACTTGCCAGAATTCAAAAGTAAATTTGAATATGATTGTTTGTTGAATATATGTTCTAAATATTGTCCTTTTTAATTTTCTAATTTTTATTTATGCATGTGTATTTGTGTGAATTCTGCTGTGTGTATGTGGTGTCTATGGAGGACATAAGAGGACATAAGAGCATGTTGATCCCCTGGAGCTTGGGTTGCAGGTGGTGCATGCAGGAGTCAAACTGAACTCAGGACATCTGCAAGAATAGCAAGTGTGTTTAACACTGAACCATCTTTTTATACTACAAAGTTGTTCATTTTAATATAGACTTTATCATATTTTTCTTTATGTGATTGTGTATGTTTATAATTTAAAGAATCCGTGGTTATGAGGTCTTATTTCATTTTTTATATTTTCTCAACTATTAGATAATGATTTTGATAATTAAAAAAAACACATCTTTTACCTCGCCTTTTCTTAAACTCTTACTAGGGTGGGCAGTAAGGACATTGCTGGTGTCCGTTTGCCAGCAAGTGTGAAATTTCACAGCCGAGCCTCCTCTGCAGAAACTGGAGAAGCAGTTGAGCCGTATACGACTGAGAAGATGAGTCGGATCCCTGGAGGGTATTTGCCTCTGACAGAGTGCTTTGAAATTATGGAAGTGGATTTCAACAGTCTTCAGGTAAAAACAAGAATTAGTTCTTCCTTATCCCCAAACCCCAAGCATAGTTTCTCTGGCTAACAGCTCTGGTTGACCTGGAACTCACTTTGTGGACCAGGCTGGCCTGGAAATAATACAAATCTGCCTACCTCTGTGGTTGCCACCATGCCTGGCCCTTAACTCTTACTCTTAATTTTTTTAATTGTTTCAAGTAGTATATGAAGTCTTACTTTTTGTTTTGATTTTTTCCCCCCTCTCCTAAGACATGCTTTCTCTGTGTAGACCTGTCCTGGGACTCACTCTGTAGACCAGGATGGCCTCGAACTCAGAGATCCACCTGCCTCTGTCTCCCAGTGAGTGTTGCGTTTAAAGGTCCTCCACTACCACTGATTCTGCCCGACTATGTCTTACTTTTTGAATGTACAGGAGGTTCTACTTATGAAGAAATGATTAGCAACAAATTAAAATTCCCTTTTGAATATACTGTTTTTAAATGCAAGGACAAAGCTCTCTAGAGTTTGCTGAGTATATCCTGTGCTGTGTGCTGTACATGAATCTTCACTGTGACAGTAGAAGTAAGAGAATGCGTGCTTTTTAGAGGAACCTGTTGGCAGTAGTAAGCGCTGCACAGTTCTCGTGGTTGTAACTACACAGGCGGAAGTTCCAGCCTAGGTCTTTGTTGTTCTCTTTTCTCATGCTGTCTTCTCACATTAACGGCTTCCATTCAGATGAGCACGCATCTAAATCCAGACCAATTAAAGTCATTAGGACAGTGTCTCTTGGCCTGTGGGTCGCGACCCTTTGGAGGAGGTTGAGTGACTCTACCACAAGAGTCACCTCAGACAATCAGAAAACAAATATTTACATTACAATTCATAACAGTAGCAAAATCACAGTCATGATGAGCGGTGGAAATAGTTTCACAGTTGGGGTCCACAATATAAGGAACTGTGTAAGGGTCACAGCGTGAGGAGGGTTGAGAACCACTGTGCTAGGTTAATGGCATCCCATCTCACCCAGGGCTGAAGGCTCCCGAGACAGAGAACATTTAGGTTTTTGTCAGGATCCTAGGGATTGAATCTAGACGTGGCAAATGCTCGACAGCCTCTTTACCACAGTTACACTTCCTGCTTGGGGTTTGCCTTTTCAAGCCAGAACAGGCCTGAGGAAAGCCGATGGCGGACCACCCTGGCTTGTTTATGTCTGTACTGGTGGGTGATAGGAAGATAGGTGTGTACAATATGCCCAGAGAGCCCTAGAACTGTTGAATAAGATCCCTTTCTAATGTCTTGAAGAAGAATGATGTTCATGGCACATGTTTTGGGGTGGAGGTGGCTAAAGGAAGGGCATTTTGCCATGAAAGTTTAAAAGTATAACCAGAAGTCTCTCTTAATTCATCTCTTCTTGGGGGGTGGAGGGAGTTGTTTTAATTCAGTTTTATCACACTGAGCAGCCCTGGGTTTTAAGGTCATTCCTGACCAAACACAGTGTTCCAGGGCATAGTGGAGTAGTGGAGTACAGCTGTGAAGTACCCCACAGCTGTTCTGTTATTTATTTTAAGAGTTTTTACTTGAATTATTTCTTACACCACACATACCTTGTAAAGATTTTAGTTCTAGAAGCAATGTCTATCTGTTTAACACTTTGAAGGAAAACAGAACAGAAATGAAAAGGCTTGGTATTGTTTCTTACTTGGGTTATTTTTTTTTTAAAGAGCAATATTTTTTTAAAGGATTTTTTTTTTTTATTTATTATGTGTACAGTATTCTCAGTATTCTGTCTGTATGTATGCCTGCAGGCCAGAAGAGGGCACCAGATCTCATTACAGATGGTTATGAGCCACCATGTGGTTGCTGGGAATTGAACTCAGGACCTTTGGAAGAGCAGGCAGTGCTCTTAACTGCTGAGCCATCTCTCCAGCCCCTTGGGTTATTTGTTTGAAGTGTGTGTTCCAGGCTTGCTCTTCTTTCCGTGTGTGCATTTGCACATATGCACTTTTCCAGTGTAAAATAAATGACCCCGTGGCTTTGCTGCCTGCTTCTGTCATCTGGCACTACACTGCTGGCATGTTTTTCTTCCTCCGTGGAAAGAGAGAGAGAGAGAGAGAGAGAGAGAGAGAGAGAGAGAGAGAGAGCGAGCGCGTGTGAGTGCGTGTGCGAGCTCGCAGTGTATGTTCAGTAGATGTCTGATATTCTGTGATCCCATAATTGGGCAGGGGGCACTGACTGCGAGGATGGACTGTGAGCTGACATTGAGGGAAATACATATTAATTTATAAATCCTCATTCTTTATTAGTTTTGTTCCTTACTAGTTTCCTAGACTGTTTTCTCACCCACTTTATATTTCTTCTCAGGAATTAAAGAGTCTTGCAACTAAAGAGCCACACCCCCTCTGTGTTCCTGCTATTAAAGAAGGCGTGCTGGATGCTGTCATGGTTTGGTTTGTTCTCCAGCTCGATGACGAATACAGTCTGTCCACAAGTCCTGGGGAGGAAACCTGTTGGGAACAGGCTGTTTATCCAGTCCAGGCCCTTGCAGGTAAGTATTATCTCATTAAAACCCATTCATAAGTGGCTTTTAGATATAAAGCAAAGAAAACCAGCCCATAATTCACAATCCCAGAGAACCTAGACAATAATGAGGACCCTGAGAGAGAAATACATGGATCTAATCTACATGGGAAGTAGAAAGAGACAAGATCTCCTGAGTAAATTGGCAACATGGGGACTATGGGAGAGGATTGAAGGGGAGGGGAGAGACAGAGAACACAATTGGGGGCAGGTGGAGAAACAAGCAGCTCAGCAGTTAAGAGCACTGGCTGCTTTTCCAGAGGACCCAAGTTCAATTCCAGACACCCACTGGCAGCTCAGAACCGTTTATACCCATAGTCCATGGGATCCGAAGGCCTCTTCTGATATGCAGACAAACCATCCATATACATTTTAAAAGTGCATAAATAAATCTTTAAAAAAATTAAGTGAAACCTCTTCCCATGGAACCAATCAAACAAACAGGTTTTTTTTTTTGTTTACTCTAAGTAATTGAGTCAGTGACCAAAAAGAAAAACAGAATCACTTTAGAGATGACGTTTTCAGCAAAAGAGTGTTGCTTCAGTATATCAGAATTTCCACATTCTTTGTCCAGAAGTCAATTTCAGAACTATGTGTTGTTAAGAAGAGAGATTGAAGCCAGCTGTGGTGCATGCTGTTGATCAGGCACACCTCTGGGAATTCAAGGCCTGTCTGGTCTATGTAGCGAGAGTCTGGGCCAACCTTGGCTGCACACTGAGCCCCATTCTCAAAAAATGAAAAGAGAGATTCAATCATTGCCTTGGAAAATGGGAGAGAGGGGCTGAGAGTTCCTGGAGATGGGGTTGAGAGTGCACATTGTTTATGTCTGTGGAATTGCCAAGAGTAAGTAGAAGATATTCTGTTAAAAAGCAAAAACCACTGTGTTCAGTGTCTTACACCTTTAGTCCCAGCACCCTGGAGGCAGTTCAGGGCCAGCCAGCTTTACATAGTGAGACGCTGTCTCTAAATAAAGATTTAAAGTCACTCTATTGCATGCTCCTTAGCTGTAACTCTCATTAATCATTTCATAATTTCAAGTGGTACTTATCAGTAGATGAAAGAAATGTTCCTTAAAAAAAAAAAAAGCCAGGTGGTAGTGGCACATACCTTTAATCCCAGGACTCTGGAAGCAAAGGCATGCGAATCTCTGTCAGTTTGAGGCCAGCCTGGTGTACAAGAGCTAGTTCTAGGGCAGGCACCAAAGCAACACAGAGAAATCCTGTCTCAAAATACTCCTCTAAAACAAGACAACAACAATAAAAACAAAATAGAAATGAACCACTTCATGAATTTGCCTGTCGACCTTGCTGAGAAACCATGCTAGTGTTTTAATTTTAGTATAAGTGCTTCTCAAGTGTGTACTGTCCTGTTTCTTCTTCCTTCTTCTTATTCTCCTGCCTATTTCCTTTCCTCTTCTTTTCTTCTTCCAAAAATGAGTTAGAAAAGTATGAAGTGTGGGAGTACTTAACCTATAGAGACCCTGATAACGTTTGCAGAGCCCAAATCATAAGAATGTATGCAGGGGACTCAGTGGATAAAGGTGCTTGCTGCCAGCCCTCATGACTTGAGTTTGATTTCTGGAACTCATATAGTGGAGATGAGAACTGACTCTCCCAAGTTAACCTCTGACCTCACACATGCCGGGGCGTGTGCATGTGCCTCCAGTGAACAAGTGTAGGAGTTGAAGTGCATACAGTTCTAGAAGTACAAATCTTACAGTTCTGAGAGAATGTGGGATCTGTAAACTCCCCTTGGGAAAGGTTATATTAAAGACATTATCTATCTAGGAAAAGAAAACTGTTTATAGCAGTTTGGTGGGTTTCTGTGTTTCCAACAGTATATGTGGAAAAGTACGCATTTAAAGGAAGCCCATGTCTGTGGTCTCTTTATTAGGGATCTGATTCACCAAGGCCAGTCGACCATGGAATCTGTAGTCTGAAGATTTGGGTTCAGGTCTTGGCTCTCTTGTTGAATGACTTGCCAACAAAGATGTTAGAACTTTTATTGGGTTCTTTCTGAAAATAGGACAGTGCTGTCTACCCTAGAGGATTGTGGGAATGGTAAGATATATATAAGAAAGCTTGGCTCTAAGAAAGTTACATTTTAAATCTGTATTTATTTATATTTTCTTAGGTAATTTAAATATTCCTTGAAGAATCTTCAGGGAAAAGCCATTTTAATTGCTTAAACATAAAAATAACAACTTTTATAATAAAAACTTTTGTTTTTTGTTTTTTGTTCTTTTTCCCAGTTAAAACTTTTATATATATATTATTTATTAAAAATTTCCACCTCCTCCCATTTCCCTTCCCCTCCCCCCTCCCCCTCCCCCTCCCTCTCCAGTCCTAAGAGCAGTCAGGGTTCCCTGCCCTGTGGGAAGTCCAAGGTCCTCCCCCTCCATCCAGGTCTAGAAAGGTGAGCATCCAAACAGACTAGGCTCCCACAAAGCCAGTCCATGGAGTAGAATCAAAACTCTGTGCCATTGTCCTTGGCTTCTCAGTCAGCCCTCATTGTCAGCCACATTCAGAGAATCCAGTTTGATCACATGCTCCATCAGTTCCAGTCAAGCTGGCCTTGGTGAGCTCCCATTAGATCAGTCCCACCGTCTCAGTGGGTGGACTCACCCCTCACAGTTCTGACTTCCTTGCTCATGTTCTCCCTCCTTCTGCTCCTCATTTGGACCTTGGGAGCTCAGTCCAGTGCTCCAATGTGGGTCTCTGTCTCTATCTCCATCTATCATCAGATGAAGGTTCTATGGTGATATTCATCAGTGTGGCTATAGGATAAGGCCATTTCAGGCACCCTCCTTTCTGCTGCCCACGGAATTAGTTGGGGAAATCCCCTTGGACACTTGGGAACCCCTCTAGAGCCAAGACTCCAGCCAATCCTGAAATGGCTCCCTTGGTTAGAATAACTTCTTTCCTGTTCCCATATCCACCCTTCCTCCATCTCAATTATCCCATTCCCCCAAACTCTCCCCAATCCTCCCCCTTCTCCCTTCTCTCTCCCAATCTCCCCTTCCCCCCAATCCACTCTCAACCCCCTGCTCCCAACTTTTGCCTGGTGATCTTGTCAACTTCCAATATCCAGGAGGATAACTATATATTTTTCTTTGAGTTCACCTTCTTATTTAGCTTCTCTGGGATCATGAACTATAGGCTCAGTGTCCTTTGTTTATGGCTAGAATCTGCTTATGAGTGAGTACATACTATATTCCTTTTTGGGGGGCTGGGTTATCTCACTCAGTAAAGTGTTTTCTATTTCCATCCATTTGCATGCAAAGTTCAAGATATCATTTTTTTTTTTTTTTTTTTTTTACTGCTGAGTAGAACTCTGAAGTCTATATGTGCCACACCTTCTTTACCCATTCTTCTATGGAGGGGCACCTAGGTTGTTTCCTGGTTCTGGCTATTACAAATAGTGCTGCTATGAACATAGTTGAACAAAAGCTTTTGTAGTATGATTGGGCATCTCTTGGGTATATTCCCAGGAGTTTGCTGGATCCTGAGGTAGGTTGACTCCCAGTTTCCTGAGAAACTGCCACACTGATTTCCAAAGTGGTTGCACAAGTTTGCATTCCTACCAACAGTGGATGAGTGTTCCCCTTACTCCACATCCTCTCCAGCATAGTTTTTGATTTTAGCCATTCTGACAGGTGTAAGATGGTATCTCAAAGTTGTTTTGATTTGCATTTCCCTGATTGCTAAGGAGGTTGAGCATGACCTTAAGTGTCTTTTGGCCATTTGAACTTCTGTTGAGAATTCTCTGTTCAGTTCAGTACCCTATTTTTTAATTGGGTTAATTAGAGTTTTAATGTTTAGTTTCTTGAGTTCTTTATATATTTTGGAGATCAGACCTCTGTCTGATGTGGGGTTAGTGGAGATCTTTTCCCATTCAGTAGGTTGCCTTTTTGTCTTAATGACAGTGTCCTTCGCATTACAGAAGCTTCTCAGTTTCAGGAGGTCCCATTTATTCATTGTTGCTCTTCTTGTCTGTGCTACTGGGGTTATACGTAGGAATTGGTCTCCTGTGCCCATGTGTTGCAGAGTACTTCCCACTTTCTCTTCTGTCAGGTTCAGCATGGTCAGATTTATAGTGAGGTCTTTAATCTATTTGGACTTGAGTTTTGTGCATGGTGATAGATATGGGTCTATTTTCATTCTTCTACAGGTTGACATCCAGTTCTGCCAGCACCATTTGTTAAAGATGCTTTCTTTCTTCCATTGTGTAATTTTAGCTCCTTTGTCAAAAATCTGGTGTTCATAGGTTTGTGTTTTCTTCATTACCTCCATTTCATTTTTCAAGTCTTGAACTGTTTCCTTTACCTGTTTGATTGATTTATTGTGGTTTTCTTGGATATCCTTGAGAGATTTATTCATTTCTTCTACCTTTTTGTTTGTCTTCTCCACTTCTTTACAGCAGTTTTTCACATCCTGTTTAAGGTCCTCTATCATTTTCATAATGTTACGTTTAAAGTAGATTTCTTCTACTTCTTCTGGAATAGGGTGTCCAAGTCTTCTTGTTGTGTGATCCCTGGAGGAATTCTTGCATTGACATCTGCCCATCTCTTCCTTCAAATGCAGCCAGGAGAGTCTTGGTGTCTTGCTGTGACTGACTCTGGGTGGATCTCCTCAGTGCAGGAGCAGGAGCAGGAACTGTTCCCCTTTGGGTGGGTAGCCTCAGTGCAGGAGTAGGCACTGTTCCTGGGCCACAGAACTAGCAGCCAATAGGGCAGGCTTGGAGGGGGTGGGCAGGGATGTGTAGAACAAAGAAGCCCCTGCAGCAGGAGCTGAAAGAGCCCAGTACTCCTTTCCCCAGATGTTCTGCCCTGCCCTGGGATGGCACCCACTCACCGGTCTGGAAGGTTGTCCTCAGCACAGGGGCAGGACTCTTGGAGGTCGAAGGACCCCACAGACAAAAGGGTGAACTTGGGGGGAGGGGAGGGTTGTGCAGAGCCAAGAAGCCCCTGCAGCAGGAGCTGAAGGGGCCCAGTGCTCCTTTCCCAGACGTTCCGCCCCACCCTGGGATGTCACCCACTCCCTGGTCTGAAAGGTTGTCCTCAGCGCCCTATGCAGGCCGCAGGACTGAGAAAGATTGTGGCTTTCTTCATGTGTGCGTTGGGAGGAATGAGCTGGTTGCCAAACACCTGAGCTTCTTGACAGGCTGCCCTTCTTAGCAGGGTATCACACTGCCCTTTGCTTGGCGCCCGGCCTCCAGTTAAAACTTTTGTTTGTGTGATGTGTAGATGTTTTTGGGGGCGTGCACTTGTCATTGCATGCATGTGGTCAGAGGCCAACCATTTCCTTCTACCTTTATGGATTTCTAGGCACTGAATTCCAGTAGTTAGGGCTATGAAGCAGATTTTGGGGGCTCAAGGAACCTTTCTGCCTCAGCTCCCCGCTGTCTGGTACTGTGGGCATGTATTGCCACACCTGGGACAGATTGTGTTTTCATCTGGCTCTATGGCTCAGGGACAGTTATCCGTGACAGCTTAGAAATGGACGCTGTGAAAACTCAGAAAGGAGCAGAGGATAACCCTTCCTGCAGGACTTAGCTTTCCCTTAAACCGTGATCTTCTTAAACATGCAAATTCCCAAATGCTTAAGGACTGTTAGATGCCATTGTGTTGAATTCTTTCAATCTTTTGGAAATCACCTTTAGAGAAAAGAATGCCTGTTTAAGCTAAAAGGCTTGATATTAAGCCTTGAATTTCATCTATCTTTGCTTCTAGACAAAGCCTCTTTCTATCCCCACATCTTCCTCAGTTTGGCTGTACATCTACTGATCTTAGTAAAAGTAAACAAAAACTGTAAGAAGCTGGGCTTTGTAGTACACATCTGCAATTCTAACACTTAGGAGGTAGAGGGAGGAGAATAAAGAGTTCCAGGTCAACTTTAGCTGCAGGGCAAGTTTAAGGTGCAGCTCAGTTGTAGCAAGAGACCCTAGCAGTTTGGAGTTGCCAGTATCATGGGACAACTGCCAAGAACAGCAGCAGCCATGGAATGTTCAGAGCTTAAAATGACAAGAGGACAATTTTGTTTTATGTCCACTTGACACAAGCTAAAGTCATCTGAGCCAAGGGTGTCTCAATTAAGAAAATGCCTCCATGAAATGGGGCTCTAGGTGAGCCTGTAGGGCATTTTCATAATTAGTAATTGATGGGGGAGGGTGGGCCCATTCTATTGTGGGTGGAACTACCTTTAGGGAAAAGAATGCCTATTTTCCAGGGTTCTATAAGAAAGGAAGTTGAGCAAGCCATGGGGAGCAAGCCAGTAAGCAGCACCCCTCCATGGCCTCTGCGTCAGCTCCTGCTTCTGACTTCCTTTAATGATGGGCTATAATGTGGAAGTATAAGCCAGATAAACTCTTTCCTCCCCAGCTTGATTTTGGTCATGGTGTTTATTATAACAATAGAACTAACTATGACAATCAGTTACATGTATTTTTTTTTTCCTTTCTTACTAATGAAGACTACTGGATAAAGCCTGGGGACCATGTGACAATGGAAGCATCTTGTCAAGATTGTTACCTAAGAATCCAGAGTATCAATATTGTGCATTTGGAACAGGAAATGGAAGTTATAAAGCATTTTACCAAGAGTGAAGACTTGCTGTCTCTAGGGAATGAGGCTGAGCTCTGTAGTGCTCTGGCTAACCTTCAGACCAGTAGAGCAGATGCTCTGGAGCAGCCCTGTGTGTTAGAACCTGCAGAGATTGCTTTGCTCAATAACATTCCATATCATGAAGGCTTTAGGATGGCCATGAGGAAGGTGTTGTCTTCGCTGGCCCCAGAGAAACTGTGCCAGCCCATGGATCCTCAGTGTCAGGACTCTGAGATGAACTCTGGAAGTGGACAGAGTGCTATTGCACCGAGCACCTCTGACCCTCTCTATGTGTTGGATGTGTCTGAAGGCTTCTCTCTTTTGCCTATAATTGCTGGAACACTTGGTGAGGTTAAGCCCTACAGTTCTGTGGAGAAAGACCAGCATTGTGTTGCTTTGGACCTCATATCTGAAGCCAATCACTTCCCTAAGGAAACTCTGGAGTTTTGGCTGAGACATATAGAAGATGAAGCTGCTGTGTTGCAAAGGCCCAAGTCAGATAAATTGTGGAGCATAATTATATTAGATGTCATTGAGCCGTCTGGGCTCATTCAGCAGGAAATAATGGAAAAAGCTGCAATATCCAGGTAAAACAAAAACCATAAAATTGAATGGGGTATTTTGGGTTCAAAATTCACTTTCTTTTTTGAGTTTTGTATGCGATGGGATGAGATGAATGTCTTAATGTTTAACCATTCCTGACATTGGAGTTTGTTCTGCTGAGGGCCTCTGACAGGTCTGGGGTAGAGGCTAGTTGCCTGGTTAGATTTTCCTCACCTGAAATGGAGTTAGTCATCAGTGACTAACTGAATCTTCATAAAAGCTCTGAATGGAGCTTTCCAGAGGAGGTAAGCACATCAAAATGTGGGAGAATAGTGGGCCTCAAGAGTGTCCCTCTCCCATAAAGAGCTATTTCTTCCTCTAACCCACCTTTTGCTCGGCTCTCATGGTGATACCTAGGCAGAGAGCCCACACTCTGAGCAGTTTGTTCCCCAGCAGACACCAGTTGGGTTTCTTTAATTCAATTCAGTTCTGGTCCTATCTGGAGGTAGACAGAACCTACAGGGCAGCCACAGCTTCAAAAGTCAGATGCACCGATACACATGGTAGGTTGTCACCTGTGCTTCTACACCACCAGGCACAAATTAAAGTCCCTCAGTTTATAAAACCCTCTTCAGATTTGGCTGAATTTGCTATCGCAGCTCACAGGACTTAGGGAAATGCGTGGCTTGGGTGAACCTATTTATTATTCATGTGGAACCAGCAGGAGAGCTGCAGAGGGTGCAGAGTCTCCATGGTCTTCCCCCGACTTGTTGGCCAGGCACCTTCACGTGCTGAGCTGCACAGGTCTCAGTGTTGTCTCTTGGGGATTTTGTGGGGCATCACTGGGTATTAGCGATAATTTAACCTGGCAGGGAAGTAAGACAGCAAGTGACTCTAGTCATTCCTAATTCTTTCTGGAGGACAAACCCAAGACTCCTGGAGTCCCTAGCACCTGGCGTGGCCTTGGTATACACAAGAGTTCTTATTATTTCGTTGACTCTGAAAAGATGCCTATGTTTTTAGGAGTTTTATACCAAAAAACAAACAAAAGCATCAACAACAAAGACAAGATAAAGTGGAGTATTAGAGAAAGTCACCATTGCCCTGTGTATGTCTTCTGTTTGGCCATTCTTGAATGACTTTGTCTTTGAAATGTTTTTAGATGTATTTATTTTAAGTGTGTTTTGCCTACATGTATGTATATATACCACACGTGTGCACCTGGTGCCTGGAGAGATCAGAAGAGAATGTTGGATCCCTGGAGCTAGAGTTACAGATCGTTGTGAACCACCATATGGGTGCTGGGAACCGAACTTGGGTTTTCTGCAAGAGCAACAAATGCTCCTAACAGCTGAGCCATCTCTCCAGCTTCCTATTTCTGGGTTTTAATCTTTGTAGCGTACCAGTGCACACAGGTATCATGTTTTTCTTAGTTCTCTGAGCCATGTTAGCAAGTTATCAGACACCTCCCTTAAAGAGGGAGTTGTGTGAACTCCACACGTCTATCAGTGAGAGTGCACTGGACACCTGGGGTTAGGATTGGCTTCTGAAGTGAGGCAGTCCCGTGGGACTGAACCCTAGAGAATGTTAGAGTGGACTAGCAATCTAAGATGCTCAGCTGACAGAGAATTAATTAGCTGGCTCTTTTTTGGAAAAACTCGCCTTCCAGTTTGGTGTGAGAAATTTTAATAAATAAGGGAAATAAATAAAGTTAAGGTAAAAGTCAAGTTTATGGGCTGAAGGTATGGTTCAGTGTTGACGAGCTTGCTCTGGTATCCCCAGTACTACAAAGAGAAACCTAATAGAATGTCAATGCCTGCTAAATGATTCATTTAGTAACAGGTAAATAACAAGTTAGTATGCACTGTTATCATTTTTAGATCTTTTCTTGAGTTTCAGAGTTTGGAAAGTTAAAGTAAATGGGTAGAAAATTAACAAGTAAATAGGCTAATCTCACAACAGCCCACAGGCTAATAGGAATGGTTTTGTTGAGAGCTTTAAGTCACTAATTTGAGATGTCACTAATTGAGATTGACTTTCCCTCACACCCAAACAAGTCGTTAGGACCAGTGTGGGAGAGCACAGGGTCAGCAAGTCACAGACACCAGCTGTAAGGGCGTCAGACAGGGAAGTCATGACCTTGGACTAAGCTAGTTCCTGTCCTCGCTGTAAGCACGTGCTCACCTGAGCTTAGAGCAAGTCCTGTGTACATTAGTGCTCCACTCCTTCCTGCTCTCCTGTGTGTCCTTGTTGACCGTCCTCGTTTGCTCCTCCTCACTTTGTTAAGGGTAGGGTCACTAAACACGTGGCTTGTTTCTTTGGTAGGTTAGGTCTTGAACTTGCACTGAGGATCCATCTCTACCCCCGCAGTGCTAGGATTACAGACATGCTACCACTTTACCTGGTTGCTATGGATCTAAGCTCTGGTCCTCACATTTGGAGTGCAGGTGCCTTATCCACTGAATTGTCTCCCCAGCTCCCAAGTCTTAATGGGAGCTATTTAGGGAAACTATATAGCAAAAATGGAAACATTTATGCACATTATCTTTTTAGATATGTACAAACTGGCCAGATGGCTAGGCTGTATTTTTTTTAAGTAGATCCTTACATCTTTAACTTGAGTGTAAAATTTACGATGACAGATACTTGAGGGGATCAGTGCCCACCTCTTTGTAGTCCCTGCTCTGGAAGTTGAAGTAGAAGACATCCCAGAGGACTCAGTTTTTACTGATATTTGAAAATGTGACAGATGAGGAACAGTCTCACTGTCTTAAGACCTACCTTGTATTGTGTTTCTGCTTCCTCCTTATGGCTCAGGTCTGAGAAATAAGACTCCACAGTAGTTCACAGGAGCACCCGGTACCTCACACATGGGGGTGCCAGCTTCCCACCCGTCACTTACTGTTTGCTCCTAGTTCTCTGTCCAGGTCCAGCCTACTCAGAAGCTACTTTTTAATAACCATACGCAGTATTGATACTGCCATTTTTGTGGGACTACAGGGAGAATGAAGGTGAACAAGAGTGTGGTTGCATTAAGTGCAGTTGCATGAGCAAGGGTTTGTTAACCTTTATCTTGGCTTTCCTTTCTGTAATATTTCAGTTTACATATATGTTTGCATGTGGAGAGTTTAGTCCTATAGAGTGACCACTTCAGAGACATCACAGAATAGTTCAGAGAGTTTGTCATATACTCTCTGCCCTCATGTACTGAGCTATTTGTAGTGTTGTATTGTGAGACTGTCCTTTTTCCAGTTAGACTTTTACCTTGCCTGAAATGCTTGGGACCATCAGTGTTGCCGCTGCTTACACGTAATGATAGCTTGTAGAAGAAACTTGAGTCTACACGTGAAATTTATTCATGTTTCCTATACATCTTACACACAGTTGTAGAGTAGCCAGAACCGTTTTTAGTGCACTTGTGTTTTGATGGTAGCCTAGTCATGAAGTCATACATAAAACTTTCCTTATATTATATTGTATAAGTGATCAAAAAGCACCGGAATTCATTCATTCATTTATTTATTCATTCATTCGTTTGTTTGTTTATTTACTTGTTTTCAAGACAGGGTTTCCCTGTGTATTCCTGGCTGTCCTGGAACTCACTCTGTAGACCAGGCTGGTCTCAAACTCATGAGTTCTGCCTGCCTCTACCTCCCGAGTGCTGGGATTAAAGGTGTGACCCACCACTGCCTGGCTAAAAGTGCTGGTTTGGGAGCACTTTGATTTCCACATAGGATGGTTCCCCATTAATGATTATGGCCTGTAACTAAGGACTTGCCTTAGTCCGTCCAAATTTGACTTTTTTTTTTTTTCTTTTGAGTACCAGTAAGTCTTTATTTTCCCAAGAAAGAAGGGAAGGGAAAGTCAGCACGTGTTACAAAATGATTATACGATAGGAATATAAGTACCCGGGTACAGTAAAAGTCAACCATGAAATAAACACCCCCGTGGTGGGGCCACCAAAGCCCAAGGGGGCTCAGTCTCCTGCAGTTCAGGACAGAGAAGGGATCAGGGAAAGGACAGACAAGTACACACTTTCCCCACCCCTCCTCGAATTTCCCATAAATTCAAGATTTCTCACAAAGCTTTGGTTTCTAGCAGT